CAAAGACTCAGCATGACAAGAAAAAGAAACTTCACTATCTTGTCAAGAATTTTATGTTAAATAATCTTGAAGTAATGTTAGCGACATTGGATTGAGTAAAATATTAAAAATAGGCCGGCACTGTGGCTCACACCTGTAATCCCAACACTTTGGGAGGCCGAGGCAGGTGGATCACCTGAGGTCTGGAGTTCAAGACCAACCTGGCCAACATGGTAAAATCCGGTCTCTACTAATAATACAAAAAAAAAAATTACCCGCACATGGTGGTGGGCACCTGTAATCCCAGCTACTCGGGAGTCTAAGGCAACAGAATCGCTTGAACCCAGGAGTCAGAGGTTGCAGTGAGCTGAGATGCATCCAATTGCACTCCAGCCTGAGCAACAAGAGAGAAACTCTGTCTCAAAAAAAAAAAAAAAACAAGGCCTTTTGGTGCAGAGGCAAACCACCCTCCACGATCCGATCCCAGGACGGTCCAGCGGGAAGGTCAGGGCCACGGACTTGGAAAGTGTGGGAGAGAAGGGCACCCTGGACAGGCCCGCCGCCGGGCATTTCACTCCTCAGTACGTGGTTTGCTTTCCCAGCTGGCTTAGCTCCTGCCTGTAACCAGTGATCAGTCTGGGTGGTACCTGGCCTCGAAAGATCTTTGTGCCCCAAGTGGGCATTGAGGGGCCCCTTGTTTTCACTTCGTAGCACAGCCAGACGGTATTCCGACGAGAAAGGTTGGGTCTGTTATTAAAGTTGTAGAAGAATGTGCCTCGATACATTCGCTCCACTGTGTTTCTGAAGACACAAGAGAGAAACCAGCCAATGCAGAGAGCGCTCCCAGGAGCCCTCCGCACTGATGTCCGCTAAACACAGTTCCCTAGATGGCTCTGGGCCTCCCCCATCTCTCCACAGCCCTGAGAATTTCTGCTTCCTTCCCAGGCAGGAAGACCGGGGAGAGAGCAAGAAAAGGGGGTGCTGGCAGGGGCGGCAGGACCGGGGTGACCTCTTCCTGCTCAGGGCCCAGCTCTGGTCATTCCAGGGGTACATTCCCCACCCTCCCCGTATTTCTCCCACCTACTCTCCAACGCATTAGTAAAATGCAAAAGAGAATAAAGTTATTGGCTGGTCTTTATGGCTCATAACTGTAATCCCAGCCTTTTGGGAGGCCGAGGTGGGCCGATCATTGAGGTCAGGAGTCTGAGACCAGTCTCATCAACATGGTGACACCCAGTCTCTACTAAAAACACAAAAATTAGCCAGGCCTGGTGGCGGGTGCGTGTAATCCCAGCCACTCAGGAGGCTGAGGCAGGAGAATCACTTGAACGTGGGAGGCAGAGGTTATAGTGAGCCGAGATCGTGCCATTGCACTCCAGCCTGGGCAACAAGAGCGAAAATTTATTTTAAAAAAAAAAAAAAGATTAAAAAACATATTTTTAAAAAATAATATTTTTTTAAAAAATCATAGATTTTAACCTTTCAGCCAGTTCCTTCCTGACATTTCACCTCAGTATATTACTATTTTTAAATCACGGTAGAACTGAATTCTGAGGCCCAGACCACTCTTCTAAGTGCTCCGTGGGTATGAACTCATGTGAGGCTGCCCTAGGCCTGCAGGGGCCATTCCCATCTTACAGAGGAGGGGCCAGAGGCGCAGAGAGGTGGGGTAACCTGCCCAGGCCACAGAGCTGGGGATGGATGGGGCTGGGCCTCTTATCAGACCAGCCCTGTCCAGTCTGTGTATCACCAGCCCTGCAGGAGGGAGTCATTGGGGACCGGGCTCTCTTCTTACTAAATTTTAAAATAAAAGCATTTCTCCTGATCATGGAGGCTTTTCCCCCCCATATATTCCATGTTTTTTGTTTTGTTTTTGCTTTTGTTTTCTTTTGAGACTAAATTTCGCTCTTGTTGCCCAGGCTGGAGTGCAATGGCACGATCTCGGCTCACTGCAACCTCCGCCTCCTGGGTTCAAGCGATTCTCCTGTCTCAGCCTCCAGAGTAGCTGGGATTACAGGCACCCGCCACCGCACCTGGCTAATTATGTATTTCTAGTAGAGACAGGGTTTATCCATGTTTGTCAGGCTGGTCTCAAACTCCCGACCTCAGGCGATCCACCTGACTCGGCTTCCCAAAGTGCTGGGATGACAGGCGTGAGCCACCTTTCCCGGCCACTATATTCCATGTTACTGGTGTCATTATAAATGGTGAATGCTGATCGTAGAGGAAGAGCGTGTGTTTGGGGTCATCTGCATCCTCCTCTGCCCACAGTGGAGACATCCTTGGAAGACATGATTTATCTTGTGCTTCAGAGACCATTCCCTCCCCACACCCTCTCCTAAGATTTGGTATTTAAAGCAAAGTAAATCTTACAGAAAATCCATCGAAGCTCTGTGAACAAAATTCCACATTGCTCCCATCATCCTTTGGTTCAATTCTCCCAGTTCCAGAGTTCAGGAATGGCAGGAAGCACACAGAGGGAGCACCCTCCCAGAGCAGGGAGCACCAGCCCTGCCATGACTTTTGGGGGGAGAGTCTCAGTAGGGGGCCTGGGCTGGGGCAGGTGGAGGAGGTGGCCCATTCAGAAGCAGCAGTGGGGCGACCACAGAGCAGGACAAAGAGCCTGGCTGGGAGTGGCGGGGGCAGGGGAGTCAGAAGGGAGGGATCCCAGGGCTGGGGCTGGGGCAGGGAAGTGGGGGACCAAGGTTGAGGCCCAGCAGGGCCACCAGGCAGGAAGGGGCAGCAGAGAGGCCCAGCGGGTCGAGCAGGCAGCGGTACCTGAACTGAGGCTTCATCCTTGGCTGGCCAGTCCCGACTATGATCTTTGTCTGGAGCAGGAGGGTTTCACTTTCTGCTACAGGCTCCTGGTTTTAGGACAGCCCTCCTTAAAGTGACCTCCCAGGGTCTTGTAGTCATGGCCCCTGCCTCTTCCTGCTCTGGCGCTGGAGTGGGAGGCCCTTGGATGCTTTATCTTCCTCAGGCTCTCATTCTCTTTCTGTTTTTCTCTGGGGTCCTCCCCCTGGCAGAGGGACCTCTGATAAAGACAGGCTGCTCTGTGTGGCAGGACCCAAGGAAACTGCAAAGGGAAAGAGAAAGTCTTTGCAGCCAGAGACTGGGAGGTGGGTCCACACCAGGCTGAGCCAGCAGAGCACAAGCTCCTCCCCTGGTTGTCCCGCCCAGCTGGAGCCGCCTCTCCACCCTGAAGACAGACAGGCTAATGCCTCTGCAGGGACTCCTGGATCCTGCCCTCAGGGGTCGTCCCAGAGATGGTCTCCACCCAGCAGCCATGGGGACAGGGAGGAAGAGTGAAGGGCATGGCGTCTGCCTCCCCCCAGGCCTTCACACTCGGAGGCCACCATGGGAGGGAGGGACAGCAGGTGGGTGTGGGCCTCAGATGTCCCACCAGGATGCCATGTGCGTCCCCGCACTGAGCTCTTTCCTTCCTGCTTCTCCTTCTTCCCCATCTCCTGCCCGGAGTTGCTCCCTGGTAGGCTGAGCTCTGGCCTCCTCTTGTCCCCATGCCATGGAAGGGCAGTGGCTGGTGTCCCAGGCCAGCCTGTCTGGAGCCTCCCTGTGGGTCTCACAGCTCCCTTCCCCTGGTAGTGTCCTCCCATGGTGCAGAGACCTAAAAATTACACAAAGTATACATTTGGATTTTTATTTGCTTGCTTTTGCTTTTTGTGGTTGTTTTGTTTGTTTGTTTGTTTTTTGAGACGGAGTCTTGTTCTGTTTACCCATGCTGGAGTGCAGTGGCATGATCTCAGCTCACCGCAACCTCCACCTGCCAGGTTGAAGCGATTCTCTTGCCTCAGCCTCCCATGTAATTGGGATTACAGACCGCCACCCCTATGCCTGGCTAATTTTTGTATTCTTAGTAGAGACAGTGTTTCTCCTTGTTGGTCAGGCTTACAGGCGCCCACCATTATGCCTGGTAATTTTTGTGTTTTTAGTAGAGACAGGGTTTCTCCATGTTGTTCAGCTGGTCTTGAACTCCCAGTCTGAGGAGATCCACACACCTCGGCCTACCAAAGTGCTGGGATTACAGACGTGAGCCACCGCGCCTGGCCACAGTGTATAAATTTGGAAAGGAGACTTTATTTCTTGTTAAGAGTGACCTGCAGGTGGCCATCCTGTAGCCTGGGAAGAACAGCCTCTGGGAAACACCAGAGACAGACATTTAGAAGCAGGAGGGGTTGGGGCGGGAGCTTTATGCTGAAGGGGTTGGCTAAACATACATATTCAACAGGCTACAGGAGGAGCTATGAATATTCATGTAGGTGGCTGCAGTCCGTGCTTATTGAACAAACATGTGTGTAACATATGATCCCAGGCGGGCACGGTGGCTCACGCCTGTAATCCCAGCACTTTGGGAGGCCGAGGCAGGTGGATCATCTGAGGTCAGTGTCAGGCCTCTGAGCCGGAGCTAAGCCATTGTAACCCCTGTGAACTGCACATATACATCCAGACGACCTGCAGCAGCCAAGAAGTCTGGAGCAGTCGAAAAACCACAAAAGAAGTGAAACAGCCAGTTTCTGCCTTAACTGATTAACCAACCTTGAGACATTCCACCGTTATGACTTGCTCCTGCCCTGCCCTAACTGATCAATCGACCTTATGACACTTCTCCTGGACAATGGGTCTCATGGTCTCCCCACCATGCACCTTGTGACCCCCTCCCCTGCTGACAACAGATGACCACCTTCGACTGTAACTTTCCACTGCCTACTCAAGTCCTATAAAGCTGCCCCTCTCCTATCTCCCTTCGCTGACTCTCTTTTCAGACTCAGCTCTCTTATACCCAAGTGAATAAACGGCCTTATTGCTTACACAAAGCCTGTTTAGGTGGTCTTCTATATGGACACGGGTGACAGTCAGGAGTTCGAGACCAATCTGGCCAATATGGTAAGACCTCGTCTCTATTAAAACTACAAAAATTAGCCAGGCCTGGTGGCGGGTGCCTGTAATTCCAGCTACTCAGGAGGCTGAGGCAGGAGAATCACTTGAACCTGGGAGGTGGAGGTTGCAGTGAGCCGAGATCGCGCCACTGTCCTCCAGCCTGGGAGACAGAGTGAGAGTCCATCTCAAAACAAAAAACAAAAAAAGGAACAAAACAAACAAACAAAAATATAAAAAAAAAAGCCACCATATAATCCCTCCTCACATTGCGGTGGAGACAATATTTAAATGTACTACAATTAAGCCTGTATGTCAAAAGGTCCTTTCAGGACATGGGGGCACCAAGATTTTCCAGGTCTGTAAACCACGCAGAACCAGTCCGTGGTCCATGGTCTGTGGTCCATGGTCTTCTGATCTGTCTCTTGTGCAGGGAAAGCAGGAATGAGGGCTGTGGAGCAGGGGCTCTGTGGCTCCGTGACAGGACGCTGGATGAGCTGTGATTGTTTTCATCTTTATCTGGAGGCAGTGCTTGTTTAGCTGCTAGAGCAAAAGAAAAACTCTGTGGCAGGCAGAACAGAGTTTACTGTTGAAGTGTGGGGTGTGTGACTTCACTCTTGCCTGGCACGGCCTGAGGTCCTGGTTGTGATTTGGTATCTTATTGCCATGAAGAGTCTGTTCTGGTTCTGCCCGTCTTACGATTCTGTTTTAACATTACCGCTGGCCAGTTGTGTCTAAACTGCAAAAGGGCGGGGTGATAATGAGGCGTGCCTGACCTCCCCTCCCATCACACCGGGGAACTCAGTTTTAAGGTTTTTCTGAGATACCCTTGGCCACTAGGGGCCAAAGCTAGTGGGGGGATCGGGGGGGCCAAAGATTTTAGTTTTACTTCATAGGCCTGAAGACTAAGCTCTAATTTGTTTGTATTTAATCTTGCCCAGAATCCTATCTAAGGGATCTGGGGACTCATGCCTTACAAACCACACATCCTCGTCAGAGGGGTTCTATTTTTATTTTATTGTATTGTATTTTAATTGAGGCCGAGTTTTGCTCTTCTTGCCCAGGCTAGAGTGCAATGGTGCGGTCTCGGCTCACTGCAACCTCCGCCTCCCGGGTTCAAGCAATTCTCCTGTCTCAGCCTCCCAAGTAGCTGTCATTATAGGTGCCCGCCACCACGCCTGGCTAATTTTTGTATTTTTTTTTTTTTTTTTTTTTTTTTTGAGACGGAGTCCTCGCTCTGCCGCCCAGGCTGGAATGCAGTGGCCCAGATCCTCCAGCCTCACTGCAAGCCTCCGCCTCCCGGGTTTGCGCCATTCTCCTCGCCTGCCTCACCATCCCCAAGTAGCTGGGACTACAAGGCGCATCGGGCCCACCTCGCCGGCTGGTTTTTTGTATTTTAGTAGAGGACGGGGTTTTCACCTGTGTAGCCAAGATGGGTCCTCGATCTCCTGACCTTCGTGACCGCCCCATCTGCCTCCCCAAAGTGCTGGATTACAGGCCTTGAGCCACCGCGCCCGGCCTAATTTTTGTATTTTTAGTCCAGACAGGGGTTTCAAACCAATGTTGCCAGGCCCTGGTCTCAAACTCTGACCCTCCAGGTGATCCACTCGCCTCAGCCTCCCAAAGTGCTGGGATTACAGACATGAACCACCGCGCCTGGCACAGATGGGTTTTATTTAACCCTGTATATTGTGAGTTACTTTCCAATCTGGCTCAGGCACAACATTATGTGACAAAGAAAAAAGACAAAATATTTTACCCCAAAACATGTTTCTTTGCCATATCGTGAAAAGGCCCTGCAAAATTGTCCTTCGTGGGGGAAAGTCTGCATCTGTGACGAATCTCTATTAACATAGCTGGATCTTTTCTTCTAGGCCCTCCCAGTCCTAAACAGATTAATTAATTGCACCTTTTAAAGACCTGAATGGGAAACATTTGTCATCTATTGTCTCTAAGGGCAGCCACTATGAGACTTCAAAAGAACCTTGGTCTCCACAGTCTTTTATCTTAACCTGAACATTTCCTTTCTGTGGATGCCAGGCCTCTAGACAAACTCACCCAATCGTCAACCAGAAAATGTTTCAATTTATCTGTAGCCTGGAAGAGCCCCAGCCCTCCTCCCCTCACTTTGAGTTGTACGACCTTTCTGGACCAAACCAATGTATTTCTTTTCTTTTCTTTATTTTGAGACGGAGTCTTGCTCTGTCACCCAGACTGGAATACAGTGGCGTGGTCTTGGCTCACTGCAACTTCTGCCTCCTGGGTTCAAGTGATTCTCCTGCCTCAGTCTCCCAAGTAGCTGGGATTAAATGTGCCCGCCACCACACCTAACTAATTTTTTGTATTTTTAGTAGAGACGGGGTTTCACCATGTTGGCCAGGCTGGTCTTGAACTCCTGACCTCGTGATCCACCTGCCTCGGCCTCCCAAAGTGCTGGGATTGCAGGCATGGGTCACCGCACCCAGCTTCTGTATTTCTTAAATGTATTTGATTGATATCTCATGCTTCTCTAAAATATATAAAACCAAATTCTTATCTAAGGGGTCTGGGGAGTCATGCCGCACCCCTACCACCTTGGATACATGTTCTCAGGGCCTCCTGAGCGCTGTGTCACGGCCCATGGTCACTGGTATTTGGCTCAGAACACATCTCTTCAAATATTTTACAGAGTTTGACTCTTTTCGTTGACAGGCCCAAGACCCAGGTGCCCACTCCCTGTCTCCTCTGAGGGCTCGAGCTTCCGGTTCTCTAGCCCCTCTGGTTCCTGGTTGCCCTTCTACTTTCTGTTCTGCTTTCTCGAAAAGCTCTGGGCATCTCAAGCCTCCATGTGGTACCCAATTCTACTTTTTATTGAAAATCTTACTTAAACACCAACTTGATCACTGATCAAGTTTTCTTGGCTCTTTCTCTTTCACGTTCCCTAGGCTGTGTCCTAGCCCAGTGGTGCACTGTTGGGAGGGATTTGACAAAGGAGGGGCATGAGCAGGAGGGAGGGCTGGGTGCTCTTGGGTGCAGGAGGGTGGGCTGGGTGGAGCACCAAGGAAGATCTGGGTGGAGGGGCTGTGAGGGTCAGGTTGAGACTCCCCTGGGAGACAGACACACAGGACAGGAACCCCTGCACACCCCACTCAGGCCCACCCACAATGACTGCAGCTTGTTGCCGTGTTGCCCTGTTTCTCCCAAAAATCAGTATATTGAAGCCCTAACCCCTCTACCTCAATGTGTGCTTGTATTTGGAGACAGGTCCTTTTCAACAGAT